AAAAAAAAAAAAAAAAAAAAGAAAGAGAGAAAAGAAAAGAAATCAAATAAAATTAAAAACAAAAGACGTAAAAAGACACTGAAAAACGTAGACAAAACAAAAACAGAGACATTCAACAGTAGTGGGGGGGGAGGGGGAGGAGGGCTGGCCCCTCTTTCTTTCTTCCAGCAGGTGCTTTTCCTGCCTCCCCTCCCCTCCCCTCACCCCCTCACCCCCCCCCACCCTGCTGCCCGCCAGCTCTCAGGCCTCCGTCTTCTCTTTCTTTTTGTTTTTCTTCAGGAAGGACGGGGTGCGGAACTTCTTCTTCTTCTTGGTGTTGGGCGACTTGGAGGGGGAGCTCTCGGGGGACAGCGCCTCCTCGATCTTCTCCCCCGGGCGCACGCCGATCTCCATGCTCTCCACGCTGGTGGTCAGCTGGCTGACGCGCTTGGACAGCTCCTCGTCGTGGCCGTCCTTCCCGTTCATCAGGCCCGTGTGGTTCTCTGAGGGGGGGGGGGGAGAGAAAGCTTTTTTAGTCAACGCCTCGGCCATCCACGCCCTCCTGCATCTTTTCGGAACCGTTTGTCAGCATGATTTTTTTTTTGACCTGCTCTTTATTTTTTTGCCTCCGATCATTTTGCCTAGTTTGTTAAATGAGCTAAACGCTTTTCCGCCCGTTGTGCTTGGAGCTTCCTCCCACCTGGGCACCACCGGGTTTGGTAAAAAAAAAAACCCCAGTGACCCGATAGCCTAGAGAGCCTGGCCTCCTTTCATCCTAACAAAGTGGAGCTTTGAACGGCAGAGCGAGCCCACTCCCGTAATGAGTGTTCACGTAACCGGCCCGATAGTGTCGCATCCTTTTTTTTCCCCCCCTCCCTCTCTTCCTCTGGGCCTGAGCTGCAGGTTTGGGGTATTCGGGACGCTGCTCTCGTGTTACTACACGACGCGGCGGCCCTCTCGGGTTATTTTCATCCCGACCGAGCGTGCACGGGCGGGCTGACATTAAAAAGCTGCACGTAGCACGACTGACCTGGTTTCGCCGCAACAACAACAACTGGCTGACCTCGTATCGGGGGCGTCAGAAACTACGGGCCCCCTGAGTCGGTGTGCTGTCACTGGATAATTGCTATTGTGTGGGTTTTGCGTGTCTGCGCTGGAAGGAAGCCGACAGGAATTCAATCCCCCCGCCGTCCTTTATTTACAACTGCTAACGGGGCCTTTGTGATCTCTGTGTTTCTTGGAGGGACATCAGCTACCTTCAGACGTCAGACACCAGAACTTATGTGCCTGTGAGAGGCTCAAAACAGCAGGTGGCACGTTATGGCGCCCATGCTCTGCTGGGATATGCTTTTACCCCCGAAGAAAAGCAGGAAGTATCTGATTTTTGAGCTCTCCAATCCGTTCCCGGGTAAGGGTGGTGTTCCCACATTTTCAGAACATCACGAAAACAGTGTGTCCTAAAATAATTAATAAAAGAGACAGCAAGGTCGCTCCAAAATGAGCCGATCGAAGATCCCCGTGTCAAAATATTCGACGTTAAAGCAGAAATATGTAAGCTGTTACATGTTAGAATCTAAATTATTCAGGATTACGGATGAGGTTGATTTGAGTGTAAGTTGAATTATTTAAAAGATGTCCAACGCGCCCTCGGGTTCCTGCCCGAATGCTGCTCGGCCTTTGGGGAAAGTGTGCTTTCTGAGCTTTAGAACCAAGAATTTCTTGTAAAAATTATTCGACTAGAAGTTCTTTAGGAAGTCAAAGGAGACTTTTTTTCAAAAAGTAGGTTAATTGTTTCAGGTCTTGGTTAATTTTCAATAGCTTTCAACCTTTAGATTTTGTTCAGTTAAAAAAAGTCTGTAGTTTGTCTATAAAATGAGAAATTCCCACAACTTAAGCACATGAAAAAACATCTCCCCACTTGACCCTTTTGTGGATTTGTCTGTAAAAGCCTAAGACAACCAAGCATCAAATCCTGAAAAATCTGCTAACATCTTTTAGAAACGGTCAGAATGTAAAGCTTGTTTGTAAACTGTAGAAAGGCTGTATAGTGTACTCTGATAATGATTTTCTCCTCTTTAGCCCTGTGCATGTATCACAGACAATACTATAAACTGCAGGTTCATTTCAATCCTTTACAAGCAAAGCGTTCTATTTATAGCACTTGTAATGAAAAAATCATAATGTCTAAGGGGGCCTTCAATAGGTTTTTATTCAGCATCCCACTTTGAAATCACAGAAATCCCTCAAGTCGCCAAAGGAATAACTTGTAAATTGTGAGATTGGTGACATAAAACCCCCAGTTCCAACAGTGCTAACCTAAAAGTACCCGTTTTTGAAAGGTTACTTCCTATTTTCTAGAAGGCGTGGGCACATGATCAACATTAAAAATGTATCGTGGGGAGGGCAGAGATCTTAAATATATGAATGACACACTTGACATTTCATTTGGACAGGTTTGTTTTTGTTTGAAAAAAGCAAAATAAATAAAAAAAATGAAAAAGATCGGTCATGCGTTCGGTTATGTTGATTAGTGTGCGGGGAGTTTTTGTCAGATACGGCCTGAACGTTTGACACACATCTGAGCTCAGGAGATGCACCATCATTCAGAAAGAGAGTCTGTCTCTCTGTGTGAGCGATACCTTCTTTAGCCGGAGTGCTTTGTGGAGACTGGGTGAGAGACAGAGACTGTGAGAGAGTGGAGCCGTCGTCGGAGGTTAGCTCGTGCTCGCCATCTGCAGGGAGGGTGGGGAGGGATCGGTGGGGGGGGAGGGACGGTGGGGGGGTGGGGGGGGAGGGGGTGAGGAGTGATGAGAGGATTGCAGCGTGGTGTGTGAGAGGTTGGGAGGGGGGTAAAAGTAGATGGACCACAGCAGGAATGAATGGCATGAGAGGTTGGAGAGGGAGCGGGGAGGAAGGGGGGGAGGAGGTTGAGAGATTAGTTGCAACACACACATGTTAGAATCAGGCCATGCACAGCTGTTTTCCCACAAAACTTCAAAAATCCGGGTCTGCCGCTCATCGGGCTTTCATTGTGCCGTGACTCTCTTTTCCCCCTCGCTCCTGCGGGTGGCTGAACAGCCTTTGTAGCGTGTTTGGGCTTAATATCTCTGTGAGGAGACAGATGCTCTGAGCGGCGACTTAATGACTGCACGCAGGACCACCAGAGCAGCTTCTGCCTCCCCGTAGTCCCCCCCCCCTGCAGATCTAAGCCCAATGCTGCGTAGAGCCTCGGCTAAGCGAACCAACAATATACAATTGCATATTTACTTTTACTGTTTATTTTTAAGACTACTTCCACCTGTTAGAGCCAGTTAGGATTCCAGGCGTTTAATGGCCAGACACAACTGGGAATATCCTAACATTATAGAAACATGCTCAAACAGGCTTTCCTTTCCAATCTCCCATAACTATGGACATCATTCTCAAGAGGATACATAGCAATAAACTAGCATAAACTAAATTAAAAACATTTGAGCACTTGTCCCCAAAATGGGACAGTAAGTGCATAGATAATAATCAATTAATTAGCAAAACTCTTAGACCAAACGTTTCAATCACAAATTGGGATTGTGCTCGTCTTTTGTCCCCCCTTCCCATACACGTTAAAAGCCGTTAGAACAGTAAGTCAGCCTTTTCATTAGTTTTAGACACTCGTTAGCGTTAGTGAGCGACATTTATTATTATCGGCATACATTTGGCTGGAGTTTGTCGCAGTGGCAGATTCTCTGAGCGCAGAGCACCACGGCTCAGCGTGCGCCGTCTAAAGTGCTCATAAATTCTTTATGTGCGGCACGACAAAAAAATGGGTTACAAGCTAAATATTGAGATTCGAAGCGTCAAGTCCATTTGAAGTGTTGGGTGCGATCAGCCTCTACCCGGCCATGTTGGGAATCACTCTTGTGAAAGCGAACCTCTCAAAACACCCCCATCCGTCAACCTCCACTCTTAAACTGCACATACACTCTACATATATCTACATTCATATCTATATTTATATACAAATGTGACTGGATGTAAACCAGTTTATCACAATGTGTGCATAACCTCAGATTGATCATTCAGTGCTTAAGAAAACGCTTTTTGGTTAATAAATAATTAGCATACACGCTGTTATGGACACAGCTGATCACAGGCTGAGCCTTTAAGCACGAGTGTGTGTGCCTGTTTGTAAGTGTGTGTGTGTATGTGTGTGTGATTGCAGGCCAAGCGTGTATCAGGCCCCTCCAGACGGACTCCAGCTTGCATCCAGATGGGTCGCCGGGGATTCATGGGGCTGTGGGGGCAACAGTGTCATAGCAACGGGCTCCATTCATGCAGTGGGTGTGAAGACCTGCTGTCAGTTCGGTCTGCTCCCTTAGTCATCCTGGCCTCTCGCACACAGACTCACGCAGACTCTCATATGCACGTACGACTCCTCCATGCTATACCATGGACATATGCCCCCCTCCCTCCCGGCGCACACTATCTGTTCGCTATTGACGTTTCTCAGCCCCTTTCCGGGGCTTGCTAATATGATTAGCATTGACAGGCCGGTGTCTGCGTGCGGATGCAAACGATTCCAGCCAGGGCCGAGCCTGGGGAGGACAAAGGCCGGTTTGAAAAGGTGTGTACGAGCAGGGAGCTTTCGCTGAAGCAACACCAACACCCAAGCAAGTGACAAAACCACTGCTGCGTTTCCTCATGTCTTCTGGGATCCACGTAAAAAAACAAACATCGAACCACTTTCTCTGTCTTTCACAGGAGAATGTGGGACAATAATCTACAGACTCCTCAATAGGGGATACAATCCAAACAAAGCCACGTCTGTAGTCTGAGGTTCTAGATCGAATCGGCGTGTTATTAAGTGTCTCGACTAATTCCCAGACCTGTCTTAGTGTAGACCAATGGATTATAGCGACTTCCTTTTATGCATTTATGATTTTTATGAGCAGTTTAGCTTCACAATTAAAAGAAAAACATCACAGTTAACAGGATTAGCGTATGGAGCTAATTCACTGTGTTGGACAGCTGATACAAACGACGTCTCCCACAGACAGAGCCAGCTGGGAATTTAACTCAATGTAGGAGAAACCTTAATGGGTTCTTTTATTTTTTTTTGTTCTGTTTTGTACATTTTTTATTTTCTCCACACGCAGCGGCGCTCACCGTTCGATTGGTTTTTCAGCTTGGCAGGCAGAAGCCGGTGGGGCTGGAGCTAATGACGCCGGCTGTAAATCTGAGTTTACTCAAACTTTTTCCCCACCTGAGCAGCTGAGAGGGCACAACTCTTAACTCCGGAAAGGGGCTGCAATCGATTTGCGAGTCAAAAGGAGGGAAGTGTTTAAGATTGACTTGAGCACTGCTCCAGATATCCAACCTCCAGATATTAACCTCAACAAGGCAGCACAGCAGACATTAAATATCAAATCAGGTAAACGCTACATCACAGGGAGAAGCTAGCAAATGTTTGAAAAGGTCTGGGAGGTATTTCCATCCCTCATATCGGGTCTTAGTGGGTGAATCAAACTCCTCCTCCTCAGATTAATCCCTCCCGGTGAGCTCTTGGATTGTTGCATAAATATTGATCACTGATCCGGTGCATTTCAGGCCTGCCCCTATTTTGGTGTAAAGTGTTTTGTGCCAGTGTGCGTCGTACCGCCGAGGCCCAGTTGCCTTCGCTCCACGTTCTTGCGGTACTCCTCCAGTTCCTTTGCCGACAGCTCGCTGAAAGGGTTGGGAGGAAGAGGAGCCATCTGCTCCTCCTCTGTGGGCACGTATGGCTGGGGAGGAGGCAGGGAGAGGGGTGAGCATGGGAGCAGGCACACGCGCACACACGTAGACACGCTTGCAAAGTGGAACGTGCGTGAATGCACAAAATGTGGAGAAAAAAAAAAAAATGGCACCGGCACCAATTATGACAGAGAGAGACAATGACTCTGCACTGTGCTGTTCATGTAACAAATAAAAATAAATTAAATTAAAAAAGAACATCTTTTTATTGTTTCCACCATTGAAATCCCACTGCAAAACAGAGCACACTCATGCACACTCGACACGCTCTGAAGATATGACATTTATGATGTAGGTGTGTGAACGTATGCAATGAAGAGAACCATGCTCCTCACACTGGGAAAACCGGTGCAAACACATGATTAAAAGAAGTCCGTCCTAGAGCAGTAACGCATGCGGTGCTTTCTTCTCTGGATAAAGTAGAGACAGATAAACATGAAGGACGAACCACTGCACACAGGAACAAAAGCAATAAATATTTACCAAAGTTCCTAACTGCCCCAGTTCCTTTAAGACAAGACACCATAAGAGCATCAGCAACACTGTCTCAGAATCAGACATTTCGACTTCAATCATCCTGAAAATGTATAAAGATAACCGTTCTTCGTCCTGCTGTTGCAGTTCACGTTTCACAGGGATAGTTTTGTATTGTCAAAACACGCTCGCTTGCCTCCACCTAGTGGTGCCATTGAGCTACCCATTTTCTAACTGGCTCCTGTTCGAGTCCTTCATTTAAGTTTTGGCTCTTCCCACCAGAACTGAGGAGGGGAGATCTTTGTAAAGCGATGACATTTATAGGACAGAATTACAGGATGTTCTCACCCGTCGTGGTTCATCAACGGGGATCCCGGCAAGGTGCTGAGAGCGAGGCCCCGATGTCATCACATCAAAGCGGTTCTGCTCCCTGATCTGTGGTGGGGCAAAACACAGGAGTCAGCAGAAAGCCTCGACGGTCACTCTGAATGCTCTGTGACACCGAATGAGGTCTCCTGCTGTATGCAGGTTCACTCCTGAATTTATAACATTTTGATCCAATAGTTCCACTTTGATTTTAAAGAATGGAGTTGAGAACTATGAGACAAAAATATTGCCTGAACATCTCTTTATAATATATAATAATATAATATATATTATGATATATATAATATAATAAATATAATTTAATATAATATATACTGTCATTTGAAAGGAACTGGTCTATATGATCAGTTTAGCTCAATGCAACACTGAGACATCACAAAAGTTTTAACTGAACTGAACACATACAATATCCAAAAAATAGGGTTCAGTTTTTTTTTGTAATTTATTGATTCATACACACACACTGAGCTGGAATGAATCTTAATCTTAATCTAGAGTAACATGGTTGTGGCTTGTTTAAAAGTTTGATCTTAACAAAAAAGGAAAGAAAATCATTCTAGATATTAATCAAAATTTTATACAAGAAGTCGCTTCTATGCTCCAAAGTCTCCTTTGAAGTTTTGAACAGGTGCTATGTGTGTTTCTGCTTGTCAGAGAGAGTGTAAAAAAACAGTTTCTCCTGTATCCAGACATTTTCCGTGCTTATAATCAGTTTATATCCTCTGTTAACACAACAGAGGTTTTCTCTGTTGTTGCAACTTCCTCCTGATTGGTCGTGACGACTTTTTAACGCTATTCCAAAAAAAACTTTTCCGAGTCACTTCAACAAACCTGAACATTTAAAAACAGTAAAACTCTGATTCTGTAACAGATATTCAAAACCTCGGCTCGGGGGTGGGAAATGTGGAGCTGCGGGGCGAGGCGCTCACCTTGTTCCTCTTCAGCAGGACCTCACTGGGGTCGGTGTTGAGGGGGACAAACTGGTTGGGGTCCTCAATCCGGATGGGAGTTCCTGTTTCTTCCGCCTTCATCCACTGCGAAAGGGCAGAGAAGCCACAATGTCCGTCACCACCACAAAAAACACTGCAGTTCCCCTTTCAGCCACTAGATGGCTGTGTAGTATTTTTTTTTTCCCAATACAGAACAACAAACTGTTGTTTTGTTGACAAAAAAGCAGATTTTTGGCCTGATTGGAGTTGATCCCGGTAAGAAAAGCGACTGCTCACCGTGGTGGTCCGGCTGTTGTAGCGCTCCTCTCCGCCCTCCACGCTGACCTTGGTGTAGCTGTTGGGGGAGTTGAGCCAGCGCGTCTTCTCCCTCTGCTGCCGCTGCTGCAGGAACTTGAAGGGCAGCCGCGTGGCCTCGCCGTCCTCCTCAAACATGAAGGCCGTGACGGTGGCGGGGATCTCCACCTCGCTCTTGTGCCGGGGTTTTTCTCGGATGATGGGGTGTCTGTAGGCGTAGCCCGTCCTGTAGCCCTGACATGCCAATGGAGATCGTTTAGTTTGGGGAGCGTCCTGGTAAAGATTTATTTATACGGCTGTATGTCGAAAGGAATTTTTGGGAAATGAAGGGAAAAAAATTGAATGAGCGAGAGAAATGAGTATTCATCCTGTGAATTTGTTCCTTCCCCTTATACTGCCGGTTTGGACGGTCTCTTTAATAGTCAGTGAAATGGAAAAGACAGAGGGAAGCAGAGCTGTGACCGCAGGGTTTCTGGTACAACAGAGGACAGAGCCGTGGAGTCATTTCCTGTCTGACCCTTTCCCTCACATCCCTCTCCCTCAATCGCCCCCTTCATTTCCCTCCGCTTTATCCTCATCCCTCTTTTTCTCACATTCCCACTTCCCCATTTCTTTGTGTCGCTGGTGTTTTTGAACTCGACTCTCCACACGCGACTTCGCTTTTCATGGAAACCCCATGGTTGCAGCCGACCTTTCAACTCGACTCCGTCACCCAACCGAGCTGGCAAGATCTCTTCCGGAGAGATCCGGCTTTATATTCTGGCCCTTCACAGCTGGAGGCCTGCTGGACTTCTATTCTGGCAGTAGAAATTAGACGTGGAGACACTTTATACTTTTTACTACACACTTTGCCTTGGATTTGTACCAAAGTCCCGGCCTAATTTCACACAACTGCAAAGTTTAAGAAGCATGTCAGAAGGACTGATGATAAGAAAGACTGGAATTTAAGCCGTTTATCAGGCTGATGCAACAATTCACTGAACGAAGGAAGAATGAAAGAAGGGAGGTGGTAGGAGGGAAGCATAGAGATGGGAAGAGTGGGGTGAAGGAGGGCTGGAGGGGAGTAGTTATACGGGCAGATCTCCACTGATCGTGTTCATAAGCCTACATGCTGAAAAGCTGCCTTTTACATATTTATTTTTTATCATCACTCACTTCAAAATAGTTCCCTTACTTTCAGTCCACGGTCTTTATGATTGTGGTCTTTTTCCTTTAGGAATTTAATGTATTGCACTTCCAAAAGAGCCTCTGTCTCTTTAAGTTTCCTCTCAAACTCTTTTCTCCCTCTCAGACCGACGCCACTCATCCTTAGAGCGTTACTATTACAATCACATTTTGGCTATGTGTCTAATTGGGAAGGGGCCTATTCCCGCCGACTCACCAGATTGTCCAGCATCCTCATCAGGGACTCAAACTCCAGCTCGCCGATCTTCCACTTGTACTGACCGGCCATGTTGACGCTCGCCGCTGAGGCCACGGCGTACACCCGCGACTTGTACTTTTCCTGGTCGAGCACTATGAGGTTGTCCACCCCTCCGGCGCATGAGATGGCATTTACCTAGACACGGAAAAAAAAAGACAGGAACATGGGAAAGGTCTTATTTCATACAAATGGGCAGTCATTCCATCAGTGACCCTTAACAGACCAAATCGGCAATATTTTGCCATTGAATCGTACACTTAAAAGAAGAGTTGGCATGGTAAAAAAAAGGCACTGCAGGCCAGGATGTATAGTGGATGTCATGCAACTGACATGTCTGAGGGGATTTATTTATAGATATTAAGCTGGGCTTTGTGGGAAGGATTAATGTTTTCTTTTGCTTGACCGGCGAGTGTCAATCAGGAGATTTACTATGTTGTGGTACAGAAGGGGGGTGGGTGGGTTATGCTTCATCTTGAAATACACCGTATTTACAAGTGAACACAGAAGATAAAAAAAAAAAAAAAAAAGGAACGCTTTTACAAGCAAGGATTATCTGGGCCGATTCATGAAATGTGAGCACGACATTTTAAAAGCCAGAAACAGATTCTTAATCAGCGATCAGTGTTGTTTCAAGCATTCTGAGCTGCCCTCTGTCATTGTCTGGTTAGTTTTCTTAGTGACTCACGGAAAGAGTAAGTGAAAGGAACACCGCCTTTTTCTAAATGCTACTTTGGACCGTTGTCAACAACAACACATGAGATTTTTTACCCGCTTCATCAAAGTCCCAGTAGCCTGATTATAAAACTGTGTTTTGCCAACATTTTCCACATGGCTACAGATTACGAGTTACAGAGTGTTGTTAAGACAAGGGTTCGCAAGCAGCTGTGGGAAGATTAGATTTAGTGTGACGGCTGCTGGCCTCATGGAGCCGTAAACGGCTGCCAGAGGTGGCGGCTGGCTGCCAGCCCGCGGGTACCTGGATTTCGCAGGCGTAATGGGCATTGTAGATGTAGTGAAAGGCCTCTTCGATGGTCTCCCCCAGGGCAACCACGCCATGGTTTCTCAGCACCAGAACCTGGAACACATCAATATGAAACGTTACTCTTTTAAAAAAATTTTTTATCTTTGTACGGCAATGTGACCACCTACAGCCACATAAGGATGACTATAATGATGAGGAAATGCAAGCACAGCAAATATTTCACCGAGCTGCCCCTTTGCTTCCCTATTTAAAAAACACGGCATTTGGATTGTTACTTTTCATTTTCTCTTTCGCTTTAGGTGTTCAATTCTGAGCTCCGGTCACTGTCAAGAGGCTAAAATTATATCTTTTAGGCTCAGCCTCCACCCATAATCCCCTTCCCATCGGTAGTGGCGGATCACCCTCCTACCTTTGCCGTGGGCCCCAGGGCCTTCTGCAGCTCTCTGCGCTCCTCCTGGTCGTCCAGGCTGCCCTGGTAGTTGTAGTAGGCGATGTCGCCCAAGATCAACGCCTCCTGGGAAATGGGCAAGATGCCGCATTTCATGGATGACACCTACGGCCGGAGGGAGGGGGAGAGAGAGCGCTTTTAACTCTGCCGCCTGGCAGCCGACGCCCCCCCGGGTGCGTTTCTACGCCGACCCGGCCGGGTGTAGAGCGACACTCACGGCTGCCGTGGCGGGAGTGTGCACGTGTATGACGCAGCGAATGTCCGGGCGCATGGAGTAGATGGCGGCGTGCGGGCTGAAACCCGCCGGGTCCACCCTCAGGTTGGTGGAGCCCTGCTCAATCACTTCTCCGATGATGTTCACCTTCACCTGAGGAGGGAAACAGAGTGGGCTCAGCCTTCAGTACCGTACGCCTCCATTCCCATTAGGACATTCTGATGGTTCTCCTGAGGGGAAAGGGCTAAAACTGCCAATCCCAGCCCAAATGAAGCCTGACACGAAGCCAGATTCACCCCCTTTGAATATAAACATCGTTAATGGCTCCCACACATCAACCAAGCAGACATTAACACGAGTTCAAATCAAAGAGCGTAACGACAAAAATCCCGCTATCAACCATCTCTGTTCTCTGGTCCTCTCAAGGAAGTGAATTAAAGCGTTACCAGGAAACATAACACGGTCTGGGGGTGGACATCATGTCCTTTAGTTCTACAACTTCATTACCAGCCAGTTAGCAGTTATTAGATTACATTACAGGAGGTTAAATATTTAAAAGTCCAAGGCTGCAAAGAAGTCATAGCAAAGACTGATAAGCCTCCCAACCCTGAAGGACGAGCAGTCTAAACTGTGATATAAACCACAGCTGACATTTCTTTTTCTTTGGGATAAAAATCCATCACCATAGGAGGAGAAATGCATCACCCTGTCTGAAGCCAATATATTGTACACAGCAAGAATCTGAACTGGATGTAGAAATGAGGGACAGAAGGTGTAAACCGTGTTTAAAAATGGTGTAGATGTAACATAACCATGTGACCTAACACCCTTATTCACCTTATTAACTTCAACAAAAACACTGTATTATGTCATGATATCAAATATCATATTCTATGTAAAGAAAAAGAATGAAACAGAGAGTTACTAACTTATAGCTTTGATCACACACAAAACCAAGCAATATCTTTTATAGCAGGTATTTTCGAACACTGAGTTTTATGTTGTAAAACCACAGAGTGTTGCACATTCGCAGCAGAACTTTAGTTCAAAACAAACTTAGCTCTGTTTATTTGGGTTTGATTTAAATGCATGCACAGCTGGGCTGGCTCCTCAGCACACAGCTGCATGACTTAAAACAGAGACAAGGAAAGGGACTCGTTTTGGTGACATTTTAGCATTAGAGATACACTTAGCTCGATTCATTATCCCATTTCTTTATATCAGTTGCATTATTATAATTACAAATAAATGTAAAAAAAAAAAAAAAAAAAAAAATCACTGACTTTGCTTAGGTTCTTTTAGATAAACAAAAAGTTTTAAACAAAAAATCTGAACAAAATCCAATTTTTTTCCCTTATGTTATATAGAATTGATACTATATTTTCTCTTTTTTGCATAATTTGGAAACAATGTATTTCTTAAGTTGTTACACAATTTGAGTTAACACTTGGAATAAAAAAAAAAAGACAGATGGTAAGAATGAGTTTGCTCAGATAGGAAAGCAACAAAGTGTGTTTGAGTTCCCAGTTTGCTGGACATGTCAAAGTCAGCTCGGGCTGAAATGAAGGGACATGTCCTGTGTGGCGCTCGGCCTTTTAACGGCCGTGTGGATGTTTGGCCACATGGCTTTATTGATCTTCTGCCCGGCCGAGGGAACTGAACGGTGCCCTCCGAGCCTAAGTAACTACCCACATGTTTGTCTCCACACAGCCACGGCCAGCAGGTGTTCCGGCATCGGTGGGGTTACATCACATGCATTAATCCCCCCCCCCCTCACGTCCTTTGAATGGGACTCTGCCAATCAACTCGCGGTTCAGCTGGACGATACTGATGAGTGTAGCTTCTCTAATTATATAAAAATGCCAAAAGGCATGTCGGACAGAGTCTGAAACAGCTGACAAAATAAGGGTTGTAAGTAGCCGAGAATTAGGGCCAAAAGAAGACACACGGACAGCTGAAAGCTGAGCATTTGTTTTTTCTAGGATAATTCCAGTTTAACAAATGAAACGGCTTGATCTCTGACTCAATGTGAAGGCGGTCTATTATTACTTATAACATGGTGTTAAAACATCAAACAGGAAACTTTGTTTGGTTTAATTTGCTCAAAGTGAATTGAGTTAACCGAAAAGCAAAGAAGCTGAACAAACTGGGATTTTCCTATCCGTGATGCATTCTTCTTCTCAGACCTCAAACTAATATGTTGAAAGCGAGGAGCGCGTGAAAACAAACCAGACGCGGCTAATCGGCTGTCTTTTCCGCGATGCCACGTCCACATGACCCCAGCGCCGCTTCCGCAGTCTTTATTCTGGATGGCTTCCTCTTAGCCGGTCTCCAGGCTTCTCTAAACACTTGAACTCAACCGTGTAACGAGAGACTTCAATGAGTCAAAACAAACTGAAAGAGGAGGAGAAGCAGGGGAGGACATTAGAGAGGCAGACAGCGACAGCAGTGACGGGCAGGAAACCAGACACAAACCCCAAGCAATGCGTCACACGGTTTGTGTGGACAAATAACCAGGTTTTCCTTTTAAATGGCTGCCTTTGAGGATTTGAAGGAGTACAATTTCGCTGTGTAATAAAAAAGAATCTGGGACATGATCGCTGATTTTGTGGGGCTTTGCTATGAAGTCCGACTTCATTAAGGATTTGAGCTTTACTTTTTTTGCTCGTATCAAAAGCAAAACTGAATATTTTGGCAAATAGAGTAAAACAGGTTGTGTGTTTTTAAAAAAAAAGACTAAATACAACACAAACCCGCAAAGATTGAGGAAAAAAGCTTTGTACACGTTTCTCTCAGCTAATGGGAGGCAGTAAACCAACATGATCTGTTATTTTTTCCCAGTATGCTTGCTGAAAGAGGGTTTTTATGATAGGAGGCCTTTGGTTACGGAGCATACAGCAGCTATAGATTTCTGTCATATTGAGTTGGCGAGCTAATATCAGCGCAGTGAGGCTTTTCAGGGTCTGCGAGCCTCTGTACGATTGTGCCCCAACTTCACACTGAATCTACGAACAGACAGATATTTCTTTTCCCACAGTACTGACAAGGTAAGTACTGCTCTCTGTATTACTGGACTCTGCCTAATAAACAGCCATTCTCTGGTGTTTCATTTTAAGCAACTTCACTCATCAATTCATTTTCAGATGTTTCCCGTTCCACCTTTTTCATATGGCAGGAAATAAAATATTTACGGGGCAATTAAAAATGGTCTTTCATCTCTGCATGCCTATTCAAACACAACCATTAATGAGTTGAAAGGTTTCATTGTGTAGTGGTCCCAACTGAATGTGGGAATTGTCATGAGGTGGATTGCTCAATGCTATTTTCCCACCTAGTACCGAAAAGCCTAGTGCAAATAGTTAAAGTGATGATATGAACAGACTTCAAAAGAGACAAAGAACACAACGAGGATGATTTAATATCACTCAGCGACACACAAAGCTCCACAAGAGCTGAAATTCCAGATTTATACCACCGCCTGCCAAGTACAGCTGCATGTCAAACAGAGTGGAGTGCGTGTGCACAGCTGGCCACCTGCATTAGCCGTCCCATTAGACGGCCGCATATTTGCACTGGTCGAGTTGGAGCAGACCAGAGATACACCTTTAACAGAGAATGAGCTAGAAAAACAAATATTCCATAAGCTGAAATAAACGGATCAAAGCCGGTTGGAAAAAAAAAAAAAAAAAATAAGGAAAACGAAAAACAACACGTTTGAATGATAAAAACTGGGAGGAAACAAGTGTTTCCATCGGACCATTCGAAACATTCTGTACTGGCTCACCACACCCAGTGATCTCAAGTGTAACATGTGCACTCTGAACCGAAAGTAGAGAGAAACACAACCCGAGGAGTCTAAAATTAGCCAACAGAGCAGGTCCAACTAATTTCAAGAAGAAAAGATCCAGTAACAGTGAACAGGACAAATACATGTGCACCTACAGACAAAGAGTATCAAAGGAAGCAAATAGCTACGGCATGGGCAGAAATGTAGCCTTTATTTAAATTGCAACCTGAAAATAGATGGTAATTAAGTTATTTCTTACCAGGTTTGAAGCAGAAGCCTCTGCGAACGACAGACCTCTGGGGATGATGAGTATGTGGTCTTGCTCTTTGCTGACGCGGCCCTGGGGAAAAAATAAACAGTTGAAAAAGGACTTAAGGTGCATATCCATGCAAATATGTCCCGAAAACGTATCAGACTCTATTTAATCAGAGTGCTGTATCGTGTTCGGTTCGATATCTTTAGTTTAAAACTCCGTTTGGACTCTTACTGTGATGTAGGAGTTGGCGAAATGCGCCCAGCTGAATAGGTCCACCAGCCTGTAGAGGCTGGCCAGTTTACAGCGCGTCAGCTTCTCGCCCTTCACCATCGTGGAAGACTCCGCTCCGTACAGGTCGTTGATGGGTGTCACCATCCCCAGGCCTGAAGGAGGAAAACACCCAAAACGACATCGGATGAAAACGCTGCTCGTGGACACGTTTGTCTGAGCCATGTCAGCGGCAGAGACTCTGGGTCAGACATCTGGACACCACACATTTTTATCCAACGATGCGTCCGACTCAGCCGGCAGAGCCCTAAACGTCACTGTGATATGAAATAAACGACGATTCCTGCCTGAATACTGCCTAAAAACACCTGCCTGGTGTTGATCGCCCGTCTATTCCTGGACGTCAGTATGGGCATTTTTAAAGGGAGATCTAAAATGACATCTTATTCTTGATTGGCTGTGCATTCCATCGCTCTGATTAGAAACAGGCTTCCCATATGGAGTCTTGGACGGGACTCGTTAGGGATCAGAAACCCTGTGAAATATTCCCGGCTCTTCCGGAGTCTGGGGCCTTATTCCCCTCAAGCGCGTATTTGGACCGTTTGGGGGTCAGTCCAGCAGAGGTGGTGCTGTTGTGTTCGGTTGTCGGGGGTGAGGGGCCGCGGCCCGGTGAGCACTCACTGAGAGGGGACGTGCTGAAGCCGGCCACCGAGCTGGCCATGAAGAAATCGGCAATCTGCCTGAGCGCCAGCAGCCCCGTCGGGTTGTTGCCTTTCCGCTGCTGCTCCTGGATCAAACATTCCAGCTCCTCCTTAAAAGCCTAAGACAGAAGACAGAAAAAGTCGTCTCAGCAAATTTGTTTTACAAAGCTCTGCATGACATATGGAAACCTTTTGAAAGCTTGGTTGTAAGTTCGCCTAAATCAGGTGTTGTGCATCTAAAACAGAGCGAAAAATAAAGTTGTTTACAACACTAGATCAAAACAGGAGGGAACACTCAGAGGGAAGCTACGAGTGGAGCGACTACAGGCCGGCGTAGATGTGTTAATCATAGATTAGACATCCTCCTTGGGTGTCAATCTGATTTGTCCTAAAAGGGCTCCGTCAAGCTGGACGGCGATTGGCCGACCACAGGAAAACAAGCTGGGTCGGGATTGGTCGAGCTGTTAACTCGCCGCTTGCGTTCTGATTGGCTGCCTCTGACTGGCGGAGGGTGCGTTCATGGCTAATCCTGAAGTTCAGACTACCGTGGCCTGCTGGCACCACTGACACAACACACACACACACAATGACGACAATACTCGAAACGCACAGGCTGTCCGGCTCAACACAGAACCGGTGGCGTACTGTAGTGGACGACCTTATGATATTACGACGTTCCTCATTAAATGAAAGTGTCTCTCCCGTGAGACTAGTCAGTGTGGTAGCGAGTGCGCTAAGGTCAGACTGGGATGTGTTTAAACCGAGACCTCAGCCAGTAAAAAAAAAAGCTGTCTTAAGGGCTGAGCGAATTGTCATCTTGTCTTTTAAAGTCCTACAGACATCCAGCTGCAAATCACAGGCAGAGGTGCAGGGGTTCTGAAGCATGCTTATTGGGCCCTCATGTGAAGCCTTTACCTCAAAGCAAAAGAACAGACTTTCTGGCTATGGGACATTTTTTTACTTAATTCAACCCTAACGTTTCCGTTTCGGCCACGTTGGTGGAATTTTTCTTCATCGTTAAATCATGTTTTTTTAATCCCCTGGTCTGACGTCCTCTCTCCTGAACCGGTTCATTAAAAGCAGACTGCTGGTGCTGACAGCTCTGGGTACGTAAAGGACGCGTTTGCCCCTCATGAACAGCAGCATCGTATGAATTATTTGGTCGTACATAGAGCCTTTCCACCCATCAGTCTAGTCTTAACCCCACCTCTTAAAATTCCACTTTGGAGATCTGGGAATCCGCGGGGGATCCGTCCCTCATGAACGGCATAAATGGAAGTCGGGTGCGAGGCTGTGGAAAACTGAAATAGACGCTAAATAATGTATGTGTGGACTGCAAATGTTTGAGGCGTGTCAGAGCAGACGGCATAAGGGGAGCAGGCGTTTTAACGGCTCAGCTCAGAGAGTCAACCCACAATTCCTGAACATCATTTGAGGCCACTTTTGAGACAAACGACGTTTTCCAAAAAAACACTCCACCCAATGACACCATCCCTCTGGTGACTCCGTGAAAAGGAGGACTGTTAGCGGGACGCAAACAGAGACTGGAGCCGGAGCTTCTCTGTCTCGTTTTGGGGGGGTTGTTCAGACTGAGGCGGCCCCTCTGTGCCGGGGACAGCGCTGCTGGCCCTGAACTCCGGCCAGACATTCCTCTGCACCCGGTGGACGGGTCGCTGTGGCAACCGGCTCGTCCTGCGTGTCCGACGGTGGCGTTTTGGGAGTGGGGGCAATTGTGCTTTTGGTTTAGTTATTTGTTGAGTGTCGGTGCCATCAAACTGCCGTTAGAGCCACAATACTATAAGGCCGTTTAATGGAGCCCGCCCCCCCCCCTCGACTGGACGAGAAAAGTCTTTGTTTCCAGGCGGTGCTGCAGAGTTCACAGAGGCTTTGTACTGTCAGCTAACTTCACACTGCTCATTTTTCCTAATGGAAACTGACACAAGCACAAATCTCATCAGCGCACGTTTGCCGCTCCAGCGAGCAGCGCAAGTTGTGACATTGTCTCCCATCTGATAATGCTGCAGATACAAAACACAAGCTCATCCCTAAAAGCGATCCCCATCATGTGTACGGCCTTTTGAAAAAGACTGTTACAACTCCCAACTATAAGGCTTCATGTATCACCAAGAATAAAAAAAAACTTGTTCTTTTTCAAGTCTTAGAATCACGTGAACACGGTCTCTGATGATCGCTACAAAACTGACTTTATACTTGTTATTATTGATCAGACATTATATTTATCTGTATTTGTAGAGTCTGGGATGTGTCTGGGTAGGGTTTGAATCAAAAGTGAAACGGCTGATCGTCGGCAAACGGGAGCAGCTTCTGGAGCACTTAGTTCAGAAACGGCTCTCAGAGTTCAGCGTTCTGGAACATTCACAAATGGTAAACATTTAACTGCCGGCCTTTCCAGGGTGGATGAGGAGAAAGTCCAGAGATGATAACGTCCAGAGACGATGTGAAGCTCAGACAAAGTGAAACAACTTAAAGGGCTGCATCTCAGACTCTGCAGGCCGGTCAGCACCTTAGATGATTAACTTGTAAATTTAAACATAAACAGCATCAATTTAATATATTTTCTTTACATTGCAGACTTACTGCAGTTGGACACATCAGAGTTTCATATTTTGAGTAGAAACCGATCAAGAGCCATATGAAGTGTATACCAACACACAGACAAACAAAAAGAAAACAAAAAAAAAACCACATCTGCCCTGCAGCTTGGGTGTGTGTGTGTGTGTGTGTGTGTGTGCATTCCCAAAAGGATTACGGTGACAGGGATTTGATTCTGTCGTCTAAACAACTTAATCCAGCGATCTGAAGTATCGTTCATATTTCAGGGACAACATCCTCCCCCCCCCTCTCCCCCCTGACC